CAAAATTCAAAACAATCCATAAGGGTTCGATAAAATTTTTTAAAGAGCCTTACCCCCGGTTTACGTTGATTTTCGGGGTCTCAGGATCTCGGCTCCGGGTAAAGATATAGGTCTAGTTCATTTTTATTTTTTCATAATATCATTATGTATCTTTGTTGGATTTTTTGTAGATTTTTCCTAAACTTGGAAATATCTTTTTTGAAAAGTGGACTTATAATTTTGTGGAGGCCGAAAACGCAAATTTTGGTATAAAAATTTTTTAAATAAAAATTCAGCCAAAAATCGAATTACATCTTGTTAGTTATTCACTAAAATGTGTGTTTCTAAATTTCCAGAAAATTTGGATCCCTTTTTAGATTGTTCCCCTTGATCTAAAATATTTTTAATAAATATTTTATGGATAAATTATTTATAAATTAAAATTACTATTATCTACTATAAACAAATTTATTTCTTTTCTTTACCTCGTATTAATGGGCCTCCTCGACCCCGAGGCATTTCACGACCAGACTCTTCAATAGCCTTTTGTGTATCTTGTTCATATTGAGCTGTTAATTTACATTATTAACTTTTATTGTTAAATAAATTATTGTATTTTTATTACCGTCGGGCAAATATAGATCATGATGCTCGTAGAATGATGGATCATGATGAACATAACCTTGTGATGCAGGAACAACATCTTTTTTTAAATAAGTTACATTAAAGATTCTTAAAATTTCCTTAATTTTTTTTGCCCTTACAAAGGAGAGGCTTTTGGATGTCCGTGGGACTTCGGGATGAAATTTGGTAGACAGGTAGATCATACCCTTTCTATTGTCTTTTTCTAAACCTTTGGCTCTATCTGAAATGAGTTGCTAATCATTCATTTTTACTTCTTCCTTTCACAAGGTCAAAACGGTAAATTTTTCCTTAGTATTCCTTTCACAAATGCGAATTTACCGTGATTGAACAATTTTGGACAGGATTATGTTAGGTTGTTTTAGCTCCTTACCTATGGTCTCCGTGGAATTTTTGCTGCTGCGGAGAAGATAGGATTGCCTATAGCCGCTAAGATATTAATAGATAGGAATCTAAAAATCTCCGCAGCAGTAAAAACTCCACAGATACCATAGGCAAGAAGCTGAAACAATCTATCATAATTTTGTTCAAAATTGTTCAATCACTGTGAATTGATATTTGTGAAAGGCAAAATCAACATACATCGAATGCTAAGGAAAAATTTACCATTTTGATCTTGTGAAAGGAAGGAGAAAAAATATTCACCTCATTCCGGATGGATGAAACCCTAATCTTAACTATCTTAATTGTCGAATTAGAAAAAAATGCTGAGGAATAAAAATAAATACTATTTCCGAAAATATAAGGATACCAATAAATAAAAATTTGGACGGAAATCGAGAATATCATAAGATTTATAGGGATTTAAGTGGTTATTTGTATATCGGAGTATTAAAGGAGATAAGGCTGAATTTGTATGATCAAAGGGGACACAATGGTGTACCGAAGAAAATTTAGAAATGATCCAAAAGCCACCTTTTTCGGCCCGACTCATCGTTGCACCACAACCCGTCAAATTTTAAAATTAAATGTGTAATAAATTGTTAACATGTTTATTATTCAATTATAAAAGCCAAATTTAATTGTTTCGAATATCGCCATGTTGAAGACAAAACGTCAAAAGAACGATAAAGATTAATATGTAATTTAAAGATGTAAGTTTATACTCATAAAACTCATAAAATGTTCCTCTTTTATTCAATCTTTAGTTTTTACATTTTATAATAAAGAATGGCTATTACACCAAAAACACCTTGACCTTCATCTCTATTTGCTGTTATAAAATAAATCTCTAAACAGCCTATTTGTCTTCATTTCTGTTTTCACTTTTACTTTTAATCGTCCAATATTAATTTAAATTGTTATTACTTTCAAATTATTTTTATTGAATTATATTTTTTAATAAATTATTTTGGAAAATATAATTGAATTAGATTCTAATAACTTATTGAAAGGAAGAAGAGGTTAATCGAAAGAAGATAAAATAAGAATGTAGATAGTATGTTATGATAGTATGGTATAGATAGTATGGTTCTAAATATTATGTAGAACATTTACGGATACTGTTTATGCTTGAAATCCCAAATATAAATATAAAAAACATAACTTGAATATTTGTTAACTATTTAAAAATTTTAACAATTTTGAACTTTAAATATTTTAAAATAAAACCCCCGCATTACCTTTATGGTATAGTATGGCACCCATACCATAAAGGTAGAACCCCCGAGTCGTTTTTTATGGTATGGGTATATGGGTGTATGTATGGTATATGCATGGTATATGTACACCCATACACTTTATAGTATGGGTGTACCTTTATGGTATGAATTTCCGAACAACGCTTGCAGCCATACTCAGGCTAAAGTTTATGAATTGTAATACCAAATCAATGAAATACCAAACCTGGAACCATTTAAGGGTCAAATTTGTAAAAATGTCAAAATAAATATTTCTTATAAAGTTCTATTTGCTCATTCAATTTTATTTTAAAGTGGTCATACAGTTTAGTGTTTGTTATTCTTATAAAAATATACTAAAAATTAAATTGGAATATTTATAGACCCATGTAAGAAATTTTGGCTAAAGGAAACATTTGAGGATTTTTTAGTATACTTTTTATTGTTATTCCTTCAGGAAATCGTTGTATGTATAAATTTCATATTAGTAATGGGCCGGAAATGTCTGCTACAAGCGCCGTTCGTCTTTAAAACACCCTTTTTGTTAGATACCCAAAAATTTAAACTCATATAAAATCCCTCGTTTTTCATTTAAATCTAAAGAATCATCAATCAGAATCGCTTGAAACTTCAATTACTTTTTCTTTTCCCTTTGTAGATTGTTCTCCTTGATCTAAAATATTTTTAATAATTATTTTATGGATAAATTATTTATGAATTAAAATTACTATTATCTAATATACACAAATTTATTTTTTTCTTTACCTCGTATTAATGGGCCTCCTCGACCCCGAGGCATTTCACGACCAGACTCTTCAATAGCCTTTAGTGTATCTTGTTCATATTGAGCTGTTAATTTACATTATTAACTTTCATTGTTAAATACATTATTTTATTTTTATTACCGTCGGGCAAATACAGATCATGATGCTCGTAGAATGATGGATCATGATGAACATAACCTTGTGATGCAGGAACAACATCTTTTTTTAAATAAGTTGCAATAAAGATTCTTAAAATTTCCTTAATTTTTTTGCCCTTACAAAGGAGAGGCTTTTGGGTGTCCGTGGGACTTCGGGATGAAATTTGGTAGACAGGTAGATACCCTTTCTATTGTCTTTTTCTTAACCTTAGGCTCTATCTGAAATGAGTTGCGTAATTATTCAATTTTTTAAAAGATTATGTTAGGTTGTTTTAACTTTTTACCTATGGTCTCCGTGGAGTTTTTACTGCTGCGGCGAAGATAGACATGCCCATAGCCGCTAAGCTATTAATAGATAGGAATCTTCGCAGCAGTAAAAACTCCACAGATACCATAGGCAAGAAGCTGAAACAATCTATCATAATTTTGTTCAAAATTGTTCAATCACTGTGAATTGATATTTGTGAAAGGCAAAATCAACATACATCGAATGCTAAGGAAAAATTTACCATTTTGATCTTGTGAAAGGAAGGAGAAAAAATATTCACCTCATTCCGGATGGATGAAACCCTAATCTTAACTATCTTAATTGTCGAATTAGAAAAAAATGCTGAGGAATAAAAATAAATACTATTTCCGAAAATATAAGGATACCAATAAATAAAAATTTGGACGGAAATCGAGAATATCATAAGATTTATAGGGATTTAAGAGGTTATTTGTATATCGGAGTATTAAAGGAGATAAGGCTGAATTTGTATGATCAAAGGGGACACAATGGTGTCTGGTATTGAAGTATATTGATATTAGGTTGGTGGGTTACAAATAAATTTTAAGAGACGGACTCTTGGTTTTTCTTGAACCAAGATTTTCTGGTTCTTTGGTGGGCCGCAACGTTAGGCTGGGCGGTAGTGCGTTGAATAATAAAATTTATATGGTGCATTATTGCTACACTATATTGCTTTTATTATAATTATACAAACATACCTTCATCGTGATCTGGCCCAAAAAGTTCGTTATATATCTCCTCTAATGACTTATGTTCCTATTATGAATTCATAATTAAATATTAAGTTTCAATAAAATTTTAAAATTAAAAAGATGAATATGCATCGGTAAATATTTACCAGGTACATATCACAATTGATTGGACGAATAAAAATTTGCTTAGCTGTTCCGCTAATCTTCTGCTTCATTGGTTACCTACTATCACATTCAAGATATCAAAAAAGAACTTTTTTCGATCTTTTTTCTTTCTAGGGACCAATGAAACAGAAGATTACCGGATTTTTCAAAAATTTATGGAATCGGAAACGGAATTACTATGAAATTCTAATTCTCGATTTCGGTAGATCAGGATCCCGAACGAATTCCCGATTTTCAGGAATCGGTTTCGGCTAATCCTATAAATATACTTATAATAATGTAGCTATATATAATTTAGCTACTTATAAAACGTTTAACTCAACAACATTGTTAAACATTTTGTAAATTAGTTTTAATTTACTCACATTCATTTCTGTATTTTTTTCTTCAGGATTGACAAAATTAATTCCGTGTGTTAAACAATGGCTTGTTAATGCATTAATATGCTCGTCAAATTTACGTCTACAATAATGACATTTTAATTTTCCTTCGTCTCGTCCATTATTTATTTTGGTAAAATGTTCCAGTACAGCTTGTCTCTGAAATAAATTTTAACAACAAATATAAAATTGTTTCTTTGACTGGTATTGAATAAGATTAGTTATTCTAAACAATAATATAAAAATATAGACCCTATACGCAAAAGAGGGCGCCTTGATTTTTTTCATCATTTTTTTCCTACTTTAATATAAAATAATGGTCAGTCTTTTCTTCCTCGTTCAATTCCACTTTTTTTACTCGGCATATTTAAATGAGAGGACAGACAAAAACACACACGGACTCGGACAGACAAGCACGGACGAACACAGACGAAAAAACACGGACAAACACAGACAGACAAAACACGGACGGACTCGGACAGACAAAACACTCGTATTTTTTCTGTCCTGTGTGTTTAGTCTTTCCTCTCATTTAAATATGCCAGAGGTAAAAAGAGTGGAATTGAACGATGAAGAAAAGACTGACCATTATTTTATATTAATGTAGGAAAAAAATGATGAAAAAATCAAGGCGCCCTCTTTTGCGTATAGGGCCAAAATACACTGCTCCACATAATTATAAGTCCACCCCTTTTTTCGGGATTTTTTGACACCCAGTGATCCAAATTTTCTGGAAATTTAGAAACACACATTTTAGTGAATAACTAACAAGATGTAATTCGATTTTTGGCTGAATTTTTATTTAAAAAATTTTTATACCAAAATTTGCGTTTTCGGCCTCCACAAAATTATAAGTCCACTTTTCAAAAAAGATATTTCCAAGTTTAGGAAAAATCTACAAAAATTCTGGCAAAAACATTTCATGATATCATGAAAAAATAAAAAAGAACTGGACCCATATCTTTACCCGAAGCCGAGATCCTGAGACCTCAAAAATCAACGTAAAACGGGGGTAAGGCTCTTTAAAAAAAATTTTCGACCCCTTATGGATTGTTTTTAATTCTGATTTTGGGCTTAATCGAAAGCCCTTGAAATTTGCTACAAGATAGCATTAATCAAGTTTTATAGAAAAATCCATTACAAAAACACAGGCCATTAATTTTCTGATGCAGCAAAATGCCCCATAAAATGCCCTTTATGTCGATTCGAAAGTTTAACTGTCTGTGAATCTCAGTAAAATTTTTTCCGCAAATTTGGAGGCAAAATTTCCGAAAAATCTTGGAGACGAATTCCGTACACTTAATTTTAGGCCTATACCATGGCAGGGGATTAGAAGATATCGGTAGATATTTAGATTAATATATCCCCTGATATTCGTTCAACTCCCTTAATATACACTCAATCCTTTCAAATCACTTATCCTTCAATATCACCTAAATCACTGATATTCCTTGAGAACCCTTAATCCCTTCAGGTTCTGGGACAAGGGATATTTTTATTTACAAACAAATAAAAAATTTTTTTATTTCTTTACTGGGGATACAAAATGAACCTGTTTAGGACGAAAATAATAGAAATAAAATATTTAAAATTATAAAAAAATATTATTCAGTTCTAGAAAGTCTTTAATCATCATTAAAATGATAAATAAGCTAGATTAGTACAAAGCATCAAGATCTAAGAACTGACGATATATACCCTCCAAAACTGACGATATTCACTTTACTCCCTTTAACTCGACGGATACCGTATTTATTCTAATATAACGACACTCTAGATGAGGGTTGAAGAATAAACCGACATGTCGTTATATTAGAATAAATATCCGCCTTAATCCTCCGATATCCGTTAAAAATCTAATAATATAACACAAATCCACTTCTATCATTCAAATCCACTGATATTTAGGGATTAAGAGGAATATCAATTCTGATCACTTCTATATTCCTTTAAATCCCCAATTAATTCCTACAAGGGGTATATCCTATTTCTAACTGAAAAAATAGGTAATATTTACTTCACTTATTCTTGCTCCTTCCTATATTTTGTCCATGACTATATTTAAATTTTTTATTAAAAATTGTAAAAATAAATAAAAATGAATACAAACTAGGTAAAGTAATTGGCTTGGCTTAAATAAACAAGCCAAAAAATTAAGTGCATTTTATTGGCGGATGCTTTAAGGCTCGAAATTTAAGCTCGAAACTTCGATCTAGCTCAATGCGTATTTCGTACCGCTCCACTGCATTACTATTTAGTCTGTTAACGCACGAGAGATAAAAGCTATTTTACTTATATATTCTGTGTTAACATAAAAAGCGTCTTGCGTTTTGCTGCAAGAAATAGTACTCAAAAGCAGGGTTGCGTCGTAATTACGAATTACGGCATTTTTTCAGTTACGAATTACGATTACGAAAAAATTTTTTAAATTACGAATTACGATTACGAAAATATCGGGAAAAATTACGAAAATTTTGCCATTAAATTTTAAAATGGAAAGATGAAGAAATATATATATATTTTCTCTCACTTTCACTTTTGTTGGTTGGTGGTTGAGTGGTTTAGAAGTCAGGCTCCACTTCCTTTGGTATTTTGTGGGGCTTGGTTCGAATCCATGATTGTAAAATGAAGTTTGAGAAAATTTTTTTCAAAAATAAATGTTTTTAAACTTAGATTTTGATCTAAATTTGTAAATTTATTTTTTTTTATTTGAAAATTGAAAAAACTTAGAACTTCTTAATTTGTTCATCAATTTTCTAAAATTTTCGCCTGAGTTCTGGCTAAGTTTCTGGCTTCATGCCCATGAGTTCCATCTAAACTTCAAAAAAATTTTTTCACCTAAGCCTTTCCAAAATTCTCAAAATTTCGATCTGAGATTAACAAGGAAATCAAGAGATTAAAAGAAGTCGGGGTTTGGAAAATTTATCGGGGTTTTATTTTTGTCAGAATTAAGTGAGAGTGATATCACATGATATCAAACCTTAATCTGGAACGATGATTACGCATGATTGATTGAACAGATATCGGAAAATTAAGGGGATTAAGAGGGATATCAGGGAATTAAATGGGATTTGAAGTAATACGAGAAATAAGAGGACTTGGAGGGATTAATGTAACAGCATCAATTTTTAATAAATTTTGCTTTTTAAAATTAATTTAAATATATTTTATAAATTACGAATTACGATTACGAATTACGGCATTTTTTCAGTTACGAATTACGATTACGAAAAAATTTTTCAATTACGACGCAACTCTGCTCAAAAGAAGTAGAGACAAAATCGCGTCTCTTCGTTCCCAATGCCTCTCCTCAATTTTGGCTGACAATTGTAAATAAGAAATCGAATTTAATATTTTATTTAAATTTAATATTAATTTATTTAATATTTATTTATTTAATTCCGTATCACACGTATCTTTGAAACAACTTCTCAAAGCCGCTCTTTAATTCATAGTATGGCTTGCCCTTTTAGCGCCAAAGGCGAAAAATTACAAATTTTATGCCAGAGAAGTCAGATTTCTTCCTTTTCTCGTAGATTTCTTGCTTTCGCCATAGGCAGAAATTATAAAAATTTTAAAAGATTCAGAGGAAATTGAAAAACAATAGTGTAAGTACTCAACAATTTACTCAACAATACCGAAGAAAATTTGGAAATAATCCAAAACACACCTTTTTTTGGCCCGACTCATCGTTGCACCACACCCGTCAAATTTTAAAATTAAATGTGAATAAATTGTTAACATGTTTTTTATTCAATTATAAAAGCCAAATTTAATTGTTTCGACTATCGCCATGTCAAAAACAAAACGTCGAAAGAACGATGAAGATTAAGATGTAAATTAAAAATAAAAAGTTTATAAGAAATTAATTTTCCCATAAACCCCCTTAAATTTAAAAATTTATCTTTTTTATTATTCATTTTCTATTTGCTATATTTTATCGTTTCAATTACCCATAAAATGTTCCTCTTTAATATAATCTTTAGTTTTTCCATTTTATAATAAAGAATGGCTGTTACACTAAAAACACCTTAACCTTCATCTCTATTTGCTATTATAAAATAAATCTCTAAGCAGCCTATTTGTCTTCATTTCTTTTTTTAAAAGAAAAATATAAGTCTTCATTCTTATTTTTTCAATAGAAATTAAAAACTTCATTTTTATATTTTTTCCAATAAAAATTAAAATTTTCACTTATACTTCTAATCATCCAATATTAAATTAAATTGGTATTGCTTTTAAATTATTTTTAATTAATTATATTTTTTAATAAATTATTTTGGAAAATATAATTGAATTAGATTCTAATAACTTTTTCAAATGAAGAAGAGGTTAATCAAAAGAAGATAAAATAAGAATGTAATAGTATGGTATAGATAGTATGGTTCTAAATATTATGTACAACATTTACGGATACTGTTTATGCTTGAAATCCCAAATATAAATATAAAAAACATAACTTGAATATTTGTTAACTATTTAAAAATTTTAACAATTTTGAACTTTAAATATTTTAAAATAAAACCCCCGCATTACCTTTATGGTATAGTATGGCACCCATACCATAAAGGTAGAACCCCCGAGTCGTTTTTTATGGTATGGGTATATGGGTGTATGTATGGTATATGCATGGTATATGTACACCCATACACTTTATAGTATGGGTGTACCTTTATGGTATGAATTTCCGAACAACGCTTGCAGCCATACTCAGGCTAAAGTTTATGAATTGTAATACCAAATCAATGAAATACCAAACCCGAAACCATTTAAGGGTCAAATTTGTAAAAATGTCAAAATAAATATTTTTTATAAAGTTCTATTTGCTCATTCAATTTTATTTTAAAGTGGTCATACAGTTTAGTGTTTGTTATTCTTATAAAAATATACTAAAAATTAAATTGAAATATTTATGGACCCATGTAAGAAATTTTGGCTAAAGGAAACATTTGAGGATTTTTTAGTATACTTTTTATTGTTATTCCTTCAGAAAATCGTTGTATGTATAAATTTCATATTAGTAATGGGCCGGAAATGTCTGCTACAAGCGCCGTTTGTTTTTTAAACCCCCTTTTGTTAGTTACCCAAAAATTTTAACTTATATAAAATCCTTTGTTTTTCATTTAAATCCAAATAATCTTCAATCAGAATCGCTTGAAACTTCAATTACTTTTTCTTTTCCCTTTTTAGATTGTTCCCCTTGATCTAAAATATTTTTAATAATTGTTTTATGGATAAATTATTATAAATTAAAATTACTATTATCTACTATACATAAATTTGTTTCCTTCTTTACCTCGTATTAATGGGCCTCCTCGACCCCGAGGCATTTCACGACCAGACTCGTCAATAGCCTTTAGTGTTTGTTGTTCATATTCAGCTATTAATTTACATTATTAACTTTAATTGTTAAATAAATTGTTTTATTACCAGGGGACAAATATCGGGCATGATGCTCGTAGAATGATCGATCATGATGAACATAACCATGCGATGCAGGAACAACATCTTTTTTTAAATATAAGTTGCATT